CTTGGGCCCTCTTTGAGCGCTCATTGGCCGTTTTGGGGAGGCCTTGACCGTCCGTTTCGGGGCTCCGTGGGACCGTCCGGGAAGCGATCCTGGGCCCTCTCGGGCAGCGTAGGATGGCCCGGAGAGCTCCCGAAACCGAAGCTTCGAAATTCACCTTGATGGGAGCGCCCAGGGCCGAATTTGTGTATTTATATGTATATACATATACTCGTATATATATATATATATATATATATATATATATATATTATTAATATATATATATATATATATATATATATATTATAATTATAGATATGCATGCATGTATGTATGTATGTATGCATGTATGCATTTATGTTTGTATGTGTATATACATGTATGTACATGTAATGTTTTTCCCCCGAAGCGGTGCTTGCACCTAGGGGTTCGCATTTCTGTCCTCAGAAACTGGGCCTGCCGGCTGGTCTGGCGGCTCCGTGCTCGCCGTCGCCGCCTATCGTCTGGGCCTGCGGGCTGGTTTGGCGGCTCCGTGCTCGGCGACGCTGCCTCGTCGCCGCCCGTCGTCTGGGCTTGGCTGGCGGTCTACGGGCTCCGTGCTCGCTATCGCCGCCTCGTCGCCGCCCCGTCGCCGCCTAGATTCTCCTTTTCTATGGGGGGATTAGGATCTACCCCCTCGGATTCAGCCGCCCACGCTTTCGAATTGCAATTCACACGCGATTCTGTCCCGTCGTCCATCTTACATGTGAACTCGTATCATCCCAGCCAAACCCGTAACACCCCCCCTTCATTTTTGGCAAAACGTGCTATGCGCGCACACTCGTTTATCAACACATGTTAAGTTTTCAGAAATCCGTTGCAAAACAACGGGGTGAAGTTCAAACGAGCGCGTCGTCGCTCGCGCGTGCCGGAATCATTCAAAACTTTTGATTTCGCAATGATTTTAAAATCGAGTGTCCCGACAACATATAAAATCGTATGGTTTCTCAACACGAATTTCCAACAACAGAAATTGGTGCTCGGGCAATTGGCTGATCCTTTTAAAACAATGCGTTTTCAATATTTTAATATCTTGCGGCCGAACGGGCCTCTCGCGCGCATGTAGGATTCGCTCGAACGTCCTTGTGCGCGTGCTGTCGCAAGAATCCCTTGCAAACGCGGGACGCAATGCACGCGCGCGTTGTCGCGCGCGCGTGCGGGAATCCTTCAAACACTTTTTCTTTCGCAAGGATGTCAAAATCGAGTGCCCCGAAAACATATGAATACAATCATGGTTTTGCAACATCAGTTTTCAAAAATGCTTGCGCTCGCGCTCCTGCGAATTCTGAAGAAAAAAACATCGTTGTTGGGGCACGATCCGTGTCAAACGAGACAATGCAGGCCACTCTCGCGCGTCGGTCGCGCGCGCATGTCAAACTCCCTCCAAAACCTGCATCACCGACGCGAGGGCGTCGTCATCGTCGTCGCCGTGATCAGCATCGGCGCCGTCACTGGCCTTGCTGTCGTCGTTGCCATCATCGTGTCCAGCATCGCTACCATCATCATCGCGTCTACCCTTGTCGTCGTTACCATGCTACCGCGCCCGCCAAAGTCGCCCACTCGCACTGAAGCGCCCGATGGGAAATGCCCAACGGTCAGCGCCACCGCGGCCGCGTCGGTCGCGCCAGACTAGCTGGCCGCTGCGCGCGCGAGCATGCCCCGGCTAGCGCGGACGCGCAGATGCGCCAGCCAAATCCAAGCACTCGTCGCAATCGCCGCATGGGCTTTGCAAACCAAGTCGCGGGTGGGTGGGTGGGATGATTGCGCGAGCGATGGAGTGGACAATTCACTGCGAACAGAAAGTCTGGTGCACATTTTCTTAAAAGAAAAGGAAACAACCTTGTATATATATATATATATAGAAAATAAATATAATCTACCGCCCCCCCATCGTCCTTTCTGTATATCGTACCATCCTACCCAGTTTGGCATCGACCCCCCGCCACCCCTGGCAAACAAAACGCGATGCGCGCACATTCGATTATCGCCAAACCGACAATTTCCAATACTCCCTTGCAACAAATGGGACGAAGTGCACACGCACGCGTCGTCGCGCGAGCATGCCAAAGCCCATCCAACCGTACGGGTCGCATGTGTTTCAAAATCAAGTCTCCCGAACACATATACAACACACGTGGTTTTGCAACGTGGCTTTTCAAAAGCGTTCGCGCTCTTGCGAAATCGTAAGATCCATCGTATGTATGTATGTAGGTGTATCTATGTATATACAGATAACATGTTCATCACATGCGACCAAGCGGACCTCTCAAGCGCGCACGTCGGAAACATTCGAACGCTTTGGCGCGCGTGCTGGGGGGGGGGGGGGGCACGATCCGATATTTGTAATTGCCCCGGCCAACTTGTACATCTCCCGGCTTGGTGGGTCAAACCCCAGCCGTTGGTACCAAGTCCGGCCAGGCAACAATATTTTTGAATGGAAATATCACGAGAGACTTACTACAGGTTTTCGAGGTTCTGGAGA